GTAAATATCTCAACACCCTTAACAAAACAATCCACCAAGACGTGGAAAATGTTAATGAGTTTTCATTACTACAGATTTTCGAATCATACTATGGTAAATTAGATCAACTATCTTAGAACAACCCAAAACAGAAAAATATTAGACCAAACATGTAGCATCAAATCGCCAAATATCGATAGCTCAGTCGCATTACAATAAAAAAATTTATTTGACTTGCATATGGGATGGTTATGATAATTTTGATTAGAGTAAAACTATGCAGTAATGATTTTTAACATCAATTTAGATATCAGTACTTGTATTATTAAATTATAAATTCAATTAAATATAAAAATTTATTACTCATTTGATAGAATCAATGACATGCCGACGCTTGAACTCATGTTCAACATAATGTGAGATGGCATTATTATTTTGATTATTAAGGTAGAACAATTGAGAGACTAATGTTGTTAGATTCAATTTTTCCTTTTTGACTGGGAGGAAAAAAAGATCCTATTTCTAGTCAAAATAGAAAGAAAGGAAAAAATAATGAATATAGGGAATTCTTCACAGAATTCCTACTGACTCTGACAGGGACGGAATTACAAGGGTGGCAGCACCTAATTTGGTTTTTTTTTAAAATTGTTACACGTATTCCCCGTTTTTTTGAATATGTCATTGAGTATATCACTAGTATGATTCTTTAATTCAAGCATCACAATCTTGTCACGTCATCCATCATCAACAAGGTGTCAAACTTAATGTACAAACAGCATAATTGTATGTATGTGTGTGTGTGTGTATATATATATTCGATTTTTTGTAATTTTTATTTTATTTCATACTAAAATATAATTTTTTTTAATTTTTAATATGTAATTCACTTATTAAAGTGTGAAAAAGACATTTTGTATGTTAGATTTCTTATAGCGAATTGGGCGTCGGCATAGTTTTTGGCTATCGTTTTATTTTGAAATTGTGTAAATTATTGGGAGGAATAGATTTTTCCTTTTCCCCCACTTTGGGGCATCTTTTTTATGGGTTCCACCATGAACTGGATTTATTTATATACTTTCTTCATTAACCAAAATCGTACCGCTTTTTTTTTTATTTTTTCGGGTTGGGTAGGGTTGGGTCAGGTTGTGGG